ATATATATAATATATATATATATATAATATAATATAAATAAAAATTAAAATATTAGATGGAAAATGAGTGCACAACTAATATTTACATAATATTATGTTGAAGCACTAAAATTACTAACTGGAATAATCAATAAAAATAAAACTGAACTAAAAGTAAAGCTGAAAGAAAAATAATTAAACCTAAATATTAAGAAATAACCTTACTAAAAATGGCACAAACACAAAATTACTAAAACTTAAACTAAAATTAAAAACCTAAAATATAAAAATGTAAATAAAGCTGATATAAATTAAAACAAATATTTGATGATAAACAAATCTATTTCAGTTTGATGCAAAGACAACATTTCTAATGTTCATTTAGTTGGCTGGAAATAAATTAAAACTAAAACTAAACAGAAATAAAAAATAAATTAAATCTAAATGGTAATATTGAAAAATAATGAAAATGACAAAACCACATAGCAAAATTATATAAAAATATATTATTATAAAAAACATTAAAATATTAATAAAAACTAAAACACTGGTTTGATTCAAATTGCTTGAGCAAGCCTTCAGACTAGTTAAGGTAGTGAGATAAAACACAGTAAGAACAACTCCTAATAAGAATGCATGCTGAGGAGCTGATAGTTTTATTGAAATAATGCCATAAACGGTTTAAATCCCAAAACAAGATGCCGCAAAACATGACAAATACAGTCTGAGAAGAGCTAAAGCCTCTATCAGAAAAAAAAAAGACTATATCTCAGGACCTTCTCTTGGAAGTATTTCAGAGAACTGTATCGTACAATATCCCATACAGCAGGCGCAGACATTTTTGCAGTAAGGAGAGCAGGAGCACGTGATGACCTAGCTATCAAGTGCACCATCCACTTTCTGCCCTAAAGGACAGGGGGAAAAAAAACTGTCCACCAATGTGCAAAGTACTAACAGGCATGCTTTCACGCATCTTGACGTACCGTCTCAGGAGCAGCGAGTTATGACGGATATACAGAACTGGTGTGGCTTTATTTGGCAACCATATATGTGAGGAATACCCTGACGGATGGTAATACAAGCCTATGAGACAAAATATTAGAGCAAAGAGCCGGAGTGAAAAACACTGTACACATGCTGCCAAACAGGACCAGTGTCCGGTTGTACCTTCACTGCCATGAGATAAGATTATTTTGGTAAATCTTTTCTGGAGAGCTGACAGCAAACCTGCAACACAACTTATGTAAATGTATGCATCTTTCTTAAAACCGAGTTAGTCAGCATAAGAACATCAGCTGAAACCGATTCAGCAAATAAAACGCATTATTTTTGCAGGTGTTGTATTCGGTTAATGCAACTGAAAACAAAACTGTTCACGCTAACGGGAAAAGTGCTTTGTAAAAGGCTTTCTGCCACCTGCTGTACTTTTGGCTTCTTTCATAGGCACTGATTTCTTCTGTGCAAAACATAAAATAAAACGTCAAAAAACGATGAAAAGAATAGGTCTATTTACAACAAAGTTCAATTTGTTAATGTTAATTAGTGCATTTGGTGTCACCAACTAACCATAAACAATATTTTTACAGAATTTATTAACCTAGGTTAATGTTATTTCCACATATTCTAATACATCTGCAACATTTCAAGTTGCATAAATAAACATTAGTTAATGTGTCATAGACAAACATGAAATAAGTAGTAACAGAATATTTATAAAATTAACAGATTAATAAATTCTGTAAAAAAAAACTAATTGTTGTTCACTGTTAGTTCACATGGAGCCAAGGGGAAATGGTGATTAGAGGCTAAATTTGAGCGCTTTTGCATTCTCTCGCAATCCTTTTTATTTGTAAACTTGCCGTTTGCTCGCAAAACATTTGTTCTCTCGCAAAACTATCGCGTTTCCCTGAGAAAATTTGCGCTCACTTGTAAAAGCATTAAAAAATAGTTTTTCCTCCCACCTCATATTATTTCCATCACAAAAGTTTTGTCAGTGAATGACAAAATTTCTTGGGGAAACGCAAATGTTTTGCAAGCAAATACTTTAGTTTTACAAAAGTTTCTCAGGGGAACGCAATTTTTTTTTTACAAACAATAGTTTTGTGAGCAAACGGAAGAGCTTTTTGGGGAAGTTTTATGCTCAAACACATGTAAGCGAATGAAAAATAAAATTATCTGGGATTTTTAAGATCAAATAGTTGTGAGCAAACAAAGGTTCTCAGGATAACGCAAAAGTTTGATGATTTATGAGTTGTGTGAGTGAACACGAAGTTTCTCTACGAACCGCAAAAGTTTTACAAATGCAATAGTTTTGCAAGTTTCTCCAGGGAATTAAAAAGTTTTACACTCAAATGCAAAAGTTTTGCGAACGAACGAACGTCTCTCAGGGGAGAGCAAAAGTTATACAATCAAATGCAATAGTTTTGTGAGCAAACAAAGTTTCTTGAAGGAACTGAAAAGTTTTACGAGCGAACGCAAAAGATCTCCCATCTCAGTTTTTTTAACCATTACCATGTCCCATTAATGAACTGAATCTTATCGTAAAGTGTTACTAAACAATAAAGCAAATAAACACGACAATGAATGCAATAATTTTTCTTCTGATTGCGATAAGAAATTATGATTCTAAAGGAAGCCTGCAGCTGTCATACATGCGATGGCATTCCTTCATGGCACTAAATCTCTGTATGTGCTCAGTGTTCTATGCATTTTGTCAGAACAAGGGGGGAAAAGCATTGCATAAAACACCCAATAACAGATGGATGCTATGGTTTAGATGAACGCTGCTATAGTGAAAGGTGAATGCCGATGCAGAACGCAAATGCGAAGCATGATGTTCGAAGGTTTGTGATTTAAATATGAACTTGGCAAAGCGGATCAATCTCCTCTCGGTGCTACATGGCTCAAGATATATGAAATACTGCTACAGATTGTAGTTTAGAAAAGATCTTTGACTGTATCTGCCACAATCATCCATAATTATTTCAAAGAACAGTGTATTTTTCCAGCGAGCTTGTGAATTAACAAAAAACAGTACCCAAAAATCTTTAAATAACAATAAAAAAAATCTAGATAGTCAATTTCTGTAAGTTTGTGGGAGACCGAATTCACATACGATGTTGTACACAATTCATCTTAATCAATGGAAAACAGAACACACAAACAAATAAACGATCAAATGACAAACTTCTTTTGTCAGAAAGGCATTGAATCTATTTAGTGGACGAATCGACCAACTTGCTCTTGAAAGCTGTCTTGTAAACAGCTCACAGAGACATTTCCCTTTAGAAAACCCAAAATGGAGCAACTAAACAATTGGAGCGTGGTGGCTGAGACATTCAAAAGTTCAGTTCGGGGCCCCCCGGCGCCCTCAGATTTTAAGTAGATCCTCGTCGCTGTCATCGGGGTCTGGCTGAGGTTTGCTCTGGTTTCTGCCGCTGTATCGGGTCTTATTTCTGCTCCGTGTGTCCACCAGGAGCCCCACCAGATCCTCATCGCTCTCTGATTTCAGCAAAGCTGACTGCAGCCGTGAGGAAGTGGACGATGAAGGGGCGATTCGGACCCCTGGGACTGTGAGCACCTCGTCCTCACTGTCCTGCTCGTCCAGGGAGAAGGAGTGCAGGGCGTCTGCGCTGACAGGCTTGGTGGTGATGTGACCGTTCCCTTGTGGCTCCCGCGTGGGCGTCCCGGTCTCTTCCATTAACCATTCCATCTCATCTTCACATCCGTCCTCATCTATGTTCACCTATCAAGAGAGACGAACACAGAGACAAAAAGAGAGTTATATTTATACTCATTCTGATTGATTCATTTACTTATTGTAAACTTGCAAAAAAGGTCAAACATTACCTTGGAGTATTTGTAGGATACTGGATTTCTTTTCCTGCAGCAGCTTGACACTTTCTGTATTACAAGTTGCCTAAAAATATGAAAATGCATATTAAGCACACTGACTAAAAAACTGGTGTAGAAACAATTTTCATTCAGAAATTGCTGGTAAATTTTTTACAAATAATAAATATAGCAAATGAATTAGCATTGAACTAAACATTACATTTTAAAGTAATAAAATAATGTTTTATTTACAGCTTCAAAACATTTTTTTACAGTGCAACTCAAAGCAGCTTGAGTAGAATTCCTATATTTTTAATAATAAATAGTTTTTAGTTTATAAAAAAATATAGGTCGGAAAGAATTTTTAAATATTTTTGAGTCTCTTATGCTCACCAATGGTGCATTTATTTGATCAAAAAAAATAAATAATAAAAAATATTATTGCAAAATATTATTATAATTTAAAATAACTGTTTTCTATTTCAATTTAAAATGTAATTTATTCCTGTGATGGCAAAGCTACATTTTCAGCAGGCATTATTCCAGTCTTCAGTGTCACATGATCCTTCAGAAATCATTCTAATATGCTGATTTGGTGCTCAAGAATCATCATTATTATTATTATTATCAATGTTGAAAATAGTGCTTAATATTTTGTTGCAAACCATAATAATTTTCGGGATTCTTTGATGAATAGTAAGTTTAAAAGAACAACATTTATTTGAAATAGAAATCCTTTCTAATATTATAAATGTCTTTACTGTCACCCTTGAACAACTTAATGCATCCAAAGTATTAATTTCATTAAAAAAAAAGCACTGGCCACAAACTTTTGTATTAGTTTAAAAATAAAATTCACACGTATAAATGTAAGTTGCATTTTACCTCCTGTCTCGTTTGTGCAGCAGAAGAACAAGCAAACAGATTGGGAGCACAACCAACAGCAGGCTAAGCACCGCCCCTAAAGCCTGACTCCGCCCAGACAATCCAGTATGCTCCTCCCCTCCATCAGTGCTGTGCGGGTCCATGGAGCTGGACGAACTATGAGAAAAACAATGTACTCTACTCAAACTTACTTGGCTAACAAATCTATGTTGTAGAATTGTTGAATTAAAGCCTAAAAGTATGTTTAGGCTTTGGTTATACTCACAAAAAATCACAAACGGTGGCGGTGTGCCAAACAAACAGATACTGGCATCCATCTGTCTCCAGAAGGAATTCTGGGATACCTTCTCCTGCCGTAGGGCTGCAGTGGAACAGGATGGTCGAGGACACAGTTTTGGTTTTGTCTCGTCCACATACAGATTCAGATGGTACCGAGACATCAAGATTTCCACCTGACAAATAACAACACCAGGTCATGCCATAAAAGTGTTACAACATCACTGAAATACAAACCTAAACTAATAATATGAGTTCATACTACAAACTAAATTGAATTGACAAAAAAAAGTAATAAAAATGGTCAACATATGCTAACTGTACCCTAATTTAATATATATATATATATATATATCTCGGAGGGTGGAAATTATATTTCCAAATATTGAATAAGTATAAAAAGAAATTTGAGAAATTACACAAAATATATATACAAACAAAACATTTAACAATTTTTGTGTTGTTACAAAAATTATTTGTCAATTATTTAATGTAAATAATAAAAAATAATAAACAAATTACACTATCTTTTTAAACAACACATTTTAAACAGAACATTTATTTATTTAAAAAATATTTCTGTCATTTGTGTGTTGTCATAAACAGAATTTAACAATACAAATAAATACATCAATTAATTAAATATAAATAAATAAATAAATAAACAAACAAACAAAGGAAATCTTTTAAAAAAATGTTTAAACCGAATAGTTTGCCATTTGCGTATTGTTATAAATAAATAAACAAACCCCTCTTTGCCTTTCATCTGTCACACATTGTAATTCCCAACATGGTCACTTATAGAATTTCTCTCACCTTTTATATAATACTTTGCTTTGCTGGAGGAGCCAATTTTTCTGCGGTAACTGTCATTAATCTTGACCTGACAGATATTGGCACCCAGACAATTGGAAATGGAGCTGTCGGTGATGCCTGACAGCTGGATGTGGTAGATATAGCGATCTCCATTGGAACGGATGTCTCCTGTGGCGTTGTGGAAACTGAGGACAGATAAAACACTGTTTATCTCATGCACATTACTAGATGTGGTGTGGTGTGGTGTAGTTGTAGGCTCCGTGTTAATGAATGAGAGTTGATGGCCAGAGATACTCACCGGTAATAAAGTGCTCCCAGGCTGAAAACGGCTCCTGTCTCGGGTACTCTGATGGTTCCATTGATCATCTCCACTTCCTCCTGCTTCACAGCACATGCAGATCGAGTCTCCCACTCCACCCAGTACTCGCAAGCTGTTTTATCCTCCCTAAAACAAACAGACAAAAATATGAATCTTATTTAACTCACATTACATTAAAAATACAGACCAGCATCTCTGGGGAAAAAAATAAAAATAAATTTTATATATATATATATATATATTATTTTTATTTTTTTTGTGTAATTTATTCCTGTGATGACAGCGTCACGTGATCCTTCGGAAATCATTCTAATATGGTGATTTGGTGCTCAAATATTATTAATAAATTATATATATATATATATATATAATTTTTATTTTTTTTGTGTAATTTATTCCTGTGATGGCAGCGTCACGTGATCCTTCGGAAATCATTCTAATATGCTGATTTGGTGCTCAAATATTATTGGTGCTCATTTACTAATAATAGCACTTTTTATTATCAATGTTAAAAACATTGTTTTTCTTTGATGAATTGAAAGTGCCAAAGAATATATTTTAAATCTTTTGTGGCATTATAAATCTTTACTGTCATTTATCATCAATTTAATGCATTTAATTGCAAAATTATAAATGATAGTTGTTTCCACAAACATATTAAGCAGCACAACTGTTTTGATAACAACACTGATAAAAATAAATGTTTCTTGAGCAGCAAATCAGCATATTAGAATTATTTCTGAATGATGCTGAAAATTCAGCTTTGCATCACAGGAATAACATTCATTTTAAAATATAATTAACTAGAAAACAGTTATTTGAAATTGTAATAATATTTCACAATATCACTGCTTTTACTGTATTTATAAATGTAGCATTGTGACCAAAAGAGATCAAAAACATTTTTAAAAAAAATCTTAATTTCTAACCTTTCGACCAGTAGTGCATATGTTTTTTCTATTTGGTTCTCTGAAAGCTGGTTAAAAATGACACCTCTAACAGATGCTAAACCAGATGCTAAACACCACAAGTTAAGAACCTATTCATGCCAAGTCATTCTTAACTTACTTGAATAACTTCGGATGGCCCACTGTGCTGCCACACTTCAGCTGCAAGATTGTTCTTGCTGGTTTATTGTTTCCACACACCTTGTCACCCATGGAATAATTGACGAGGATCTTTCCATCTGGTGAGGACACATACTAATGAGAAACCAACAAAACCGCAATCACGTCAGAGAAGGTTTAAAATACTTACCGATTAACTCCATGGTCTGCGTGTGAACACGGCCCAGAGTCTCGGTCTTCCCGCTGGCACGTCTGCGACACACGGCGGCGTCTGCTGCACACCCTGGCTGGCCTCCATGAATGGCCTGGCAGAGATTGAAGTAGTACCTGTGAAACAAATAGTACAATTGTGAATTTCATAAACACTGAACAGATGCAGGTGCAATATTATACCAGTGTGTCATTACTGATTAAATGCAATGTGTCTAAATTCCACAGACTTGAGTACAAATAGTACTAGTACAAAAATGTATGTTTTTGAACAAAAACAATATAGATATAGAAATTATGGCTGATACAAATAGTTGATCATTATTGCTCTGTTATGGCCTACAAAAATTGTAAAAATGAATCCTGGAATTTTGTCCATCTTACGAATCTTATGAAATTAGATTTTATAATATATATTTTTATTTTAGACACACCATCACAACTCTGCTCTCTAGATACTGTATCATAATCGACCATTAAAGATAAATACATAAAAAAAAAATTCAAATGAATGAAAGAACAAGATATGTTTTAGGATATGTCTTTTTATTTACTCATTTAATAAATTTTATTGGATAATTTTTATTATTTTATTAGATTATAGATTATTTATTTTGGCGGAAAGTGTTAATGTTAGGTGCAAAAATGCATTTTGCAAAATGTACAATTTTTTTGTTACTGCTTTGAAAAAGATTACAATAAAATAAAACAAAAAACTATTTTATAAAAGAAAAAAGAAAAAAAAAATGATAGTAACAACTGCTTTCTTTCAATGCAATGTGTCTAAATTCCACAGACTTGAGTACAAATAGTACTAGTACAAAAATGTATGTTTTTGAACAAAAACAAATATATAGATATAGAAATTATGGCTGATACAAATAGTTGATCATTATTGCTCTGTTATGGCCTACAAAAATTGTAAAAATGAATCCTGGAATTTTGTCCATCTTACGAATCTTATGAAATTAGATTTTATAATATATATTTTTATTTTAGACACACCATCACAACTCTGCTCTCTAGATACTGTATCATAATCGACCATTAAAGATAAATACATAAAAAAAAAATTCAAATGAATGAAAGAACAAGATATGTTTTAGGATATGTCTTTTTATTTACTCATTTAATTAATTTTATTGGATAATTTTTATTATTTTATTAGATTATAGATTATTTATTTTGGCGGAAAGTGTTAATGTTAGGTGCAAAAATGCATTTTGCAAAATGTACAATTTTTTTGTTACTGCTTTGAAAAAGATTACAATAAAATAAAACAAAAAACTATTTTATAAAAGAATAGTTTGTTGAAGTATTAAAATAACTCAAATTAAACATTATACTACTATGTAAACAGTAAATATCACATATGGGTTAGAAAATAAATTACTACTTTTATAACCATATTCACTGTTGGAAAAAAAGTAGTCTTGGCTTAGTTGGTAAATAACATTAAAGGAGGGCTATGCATACAATAAATGACAAACCTTAAAACACTTAATGTCAGAACCAGACAGAAAAACACAGCCATACACACCACCTCCATCATAAGTGTCACAAGACAATGACACAAACTCAGTTTCCTTAAACGAACTTGTTCCTGTTTTAAAGCAGCATTACACCAGAGCTAATTTTGTCTGTATTAAAGCAACCAACAAGATCCAAATTCTGAAGATATACAATTCTGAAGATACACAAATTCTTGTATTCAGATGTACTCATAAAATCAACTTTCAATTAGACAGAAACACATTTGTTATTTAAATCTTAAAAAACACAAACAATTTAAGTAATGTTCACGTTATGTGCTGCCAAATTGATAAACCAACTGAAATAATTACATTAGGTTTATTTAAACCTAATGTAATTATTTCAGTAGGTTATTACTAGTATTTACTTAATTACATTATTTTTAAATTATTAAAATTTTAAAAATCATACATTTTATAAACAGTTATTTACATTTTACTTAAATTATTTAAATTTAATTCATTAATTAACTTAACACATCGGTTTAGTTTTCTTTCCTTAGGGAACTGTAACCATTAAAAAACAGATTAACAGCTTGTTCAGTTGCTCTATCCCAAAATAGTACATGTATTTCATGAGTTTTATGTCGTAAATGATTCATACCGCCAGAGCAAAAGCCCCATTTGTGATCTTTGTTATAGTCGCTTGTAGTGGCACACCACGTCCTGCCGTCAGTCCTGCCCTCAGTTGTGCACTCAGTATAAGACTTGTCCAGGAACTTAAAGGGGAATGTGCACACTTCATTTTTAACTGTAACTGAAAGACAATAGACACACATTTGAATCATTTAGGGGAAAAGTTTAACGAGAGTCTATCAACAGATTCCATCTTAGATCTTGACCTTGGTTGACTGCAATGTATGGTAGTGCCGCATTTCCTATAACACATGCATGCAATGTTGCCAAATCTTACAATTATTATCTTCTAGAACAAGACCATCTGTCAAGTGTGCCCATGCTGCCTTAAAATGTAGTCTAGGTAGGCAGCTCAATAGGTTTATAGAGTGATTCAGAGTGGTTTGTTTGTCTGACCTTGAGGACAGGTGTCTCCTCCACTGTACTGCATGATCACAGCCTGCTCTTCTCTCTTGTAGTCTAAGTTCATGATTTTGCTGTTCCCGTATGAAGCCGCAGAGGCCGTTGAGATCAGACATACCGCGCTGTCTTTACATGCTGTGCCCGCCACAGTCCCACACACATTGATATTAAAAGAGCCAGAGCTTCCAGAAACCTAAAAAAAACACAACAAACTAAGCTCCAGAATCATCCCTTTGCTACTATGTGTGTATAAGTTGACAAAGTGAGATTTCTGGCATATATACACACACTACCGTTGAAAGGTTTGGAGGTCGGGATTTTTAAAAATTAATTAATTAATTATTTTAAAATGAATACTTTTATTCAGGAAGGATGCATTAACTTCATGAAGCAACAGTAAAGGCATTTATAATGTTACAAAATATTTCTATATCAAAGAAATGCTGTTCTTTTGAAGTAGTCATCAAAGAATTCTGAAATAAAACATATCAGATTTCCATAAAAGTATTAAGCAGCACAACTGGTCTCAACACTGATAACAGGAAACGTCTCTTAAGCAAATCGGTACATTAGAATGATTTCTGAAGGATCATGTGACACTGAAGACTGGAGTAATGATGCTGAAAATTCAGCTTTCACTCTAAAAGAAATAAATGCAAATACAAAACGGTATATTTTAAATTGTAACAATATTACTGCACTCTTGCTTGATCAAACAAATGGTGCCTTGGTGACTTCTTTGAAATGCAGCCTTGGCATAAGAGACTTCTTTTAGAAACATTAAACAATCTAACAGACCCCCCCAACCTTTTGATGGCACAAATTTCAAATGTTCAGTCTTGGAAAAGTCTTTCTCTCTTCATTACCTGAACGGTCCCTGACAGAGCTGAGAGGTCAAATGTATAGCGCAGCTGGGAGACGGTCAGACTGCAGCCGTGCGCTGTGATGGTCTCCGGGCAAACCACAGGTGTGGCCCACTCAAACACATACATACAGTCCTGAGCCCGGATCATCTGAGGAGAACCCTGTTTGTGCAAAACCAACACTCACATTCAGGTACAACAGAGAAGACTGACAGAATTATTGAACCAACAACCGCTCGGATACACTCGACACCATTTATGACCGTTTTGGGTTGCTCTCTTACCAGTTCTGCCCCTTTCTGGCAGGTGAAAACGATCTTGGAGGAGTAGTTGGAGGTGGGGTCAGAAGGGCAGACGGTTGCGCTGCTGAAGGTGATCTCCACCTCATTGGTGTTGATATTATAGCGAGGAGGGGAGGTGATTCGTCCGATGTCCTGCACAGAGAGAGAAAAAAAAAAGAAGCCCACACTGAATTTAAAACCGAAAAATCTGATTCAAACATGTCATTTAATATCAACTCCCGGTGCCATGGTATGATTAGTAAAAATATTTTGCACAAATCAACTCAAACTAATATGAATAATGTCACAAACGCAAAAACGACAGTACGTAATTTCTTTATTTCAAGTGTGACCAGGTGTGCATGTAGTCTAAGACAGCCTCCAATATTGGTTATTATTATAATAACGATAACATATTATTAAATTCCATAATTAATACTTGGGCTGCAAAATTTGGGGGAAAATTCTAATTGTGATTTTTCTGATAAAAATTATGATTTAAAATGTGAGAAAAAAAAAAGTACACAATTGCATGATTTGGCCAACAAACAAAAAAACTGTGATTATACATCAATATGACTATAAAATAAAAACAACAATAAAAATTATGAATATAAATATTAATTATTATTATTATTATTATCTTTATAATTACTACAAAAAAAATATGAAATAAATATACTATAATACTTCACTGTAAAAATAGCAATAAAATAATTCTGACATAAACAGCCATATTATACTATAATATTTCCGAAAAATAAATACTTCTACTACTACTAATTATTTTTTATTATTACTATATAAAATATTAAAATAAGAAATTACTCTATTTCACTGTAAAATAAAAATGTATTTAAGAAAATAATAGTAATTACAATAATAATGGATTATTATAATTATTACTACTAGTAGTACTAAAATATTAAACCAATAAAAAATGACTAATATTTTACTGTTAAAAAAATGAGTACTTAAGAAAATAATAATAATAATAGTAATAGTATTTTACAGTTCAATAAAGTAGAATTACAATACTAATTAATGGCTGTTATAATTTTTCAAATGTTAAACCATTTGTAGTACTTTTTAGGTCTGTAGATCAAGGAAAGTGGAGTTCACTATTGTACTGATGTATTTACTCACAACTGGATCTCCATCAACAGGATCCATGCACACTGCGGCCCCTGGAGGACAGTTGACCCCTGGGATGGGGTTGAGGGGCTGGCAGATGTTGATGTAGAAATCAGGAGACTTGTCCCTGCCTAAATCCTCGTTGATAGCTGTGTAGTAACCAGTGAGATGGATCAGAGGACTGAGGTCAATCTGGTTGGTACCGTTCCAAACGGAGCACTTCACCTGCAGAGAAGAGACACTGAATTTGTTGCAGGTTCAACCGAAGCGAGGTTTAGAGAATCGAAAACTTTAAAGACTTCCTGTTACCTGTTGTTCGCAAACCAGAGGAGTGTGCCAGGAGAAAAAGTGAGTACAAGTGGTGTCATCCGAGTACACCAGCACGGGTTCATCTGTACCTCCTCCCTCAGACTTGCAGACGAAGCCGAAGATGCTCTTGTGTTTGAGGGAAGGGTTGGCGGCACACGCGTCTCCATCCTCATAGGTGAGCTCCACCACCTGATCCTTATACACCAGCTGCCTTGTGGTTTTCCCACCACTTATGGCCTTCTGAGTGTCTTTGATGCACACGGCTGCAGCAAAAAACATCTCAACATTACCGTACAGTATTAAGTCTTTTTTTTTTTTTTTGCTTAGGGCCTAAGTCTTAAAACATGACGAATAATGCAAAAAAAAAGCACAAACAAAACTACTTTTATATATAAAAAATACACAGAAAATAGTGTCTATATATAAAAAATAGTGTCTAAAGTGACAAAATGTGGTGAAAAAAATTAGAAAAATATATAGCTTGTATATTGTATATAAAATTAAATACAATTACATAATATATACATACATATATATACATTTTTAAAAGTTCATTTTTCAAGTTCATTTAAGTTTATTACAGTATATATAATATATATTTAGTCATTTATTCTAATAAATGATTATATTATTATATACATAAATATATTTTACACACTAAATGAAAGGTACAAAGGAAATATATACCTGTTCCAGGGGCACAACCAGCATTGGCTACATCTCCACATACGTTCAGTCTGAACATCTTCCTATGGGCTGAGGGATCATAGACTGTATAGCCACCTGTCCGACTGAGGGCATTAAGGTCAAAGAGATGACCTGTGGAAACCAAGCACAAGCACAGTACATCTCAGACTGATTTAGGAACACACATAAATGCTAGAACTTTCAGTTGATTAGAGTGTGTGAAAACACCCTTGCTGTTATTCGGGCTATTTGTATGCAATTACATGACACTGTTATGAGCAGACAGGAAGTGTCTGGATAAGATGATTCAGTTGTTCTGGTTCGGAATATTTGTGTATTTAGCGTCAGTGAGGCTCATGTGGGTGACTCACCTGTGGCTGGATTTGTGACTTTACAGTCCCCGTGTTCTGTGCTGTTGAGAGGACAGGCTGCAGCAGTGAACCACACAAAGCTATAGACACAGTTCTCCAGAGCCATGATCAGAGTAGGTTCAGAGTCCTGCAGAGAGACAGACAGAAAGTCAGAGAGACAGACAAGGAGAGGATGGCATTATGATCACTGTATAATAGTTTTATACTTATTATATTATAATATTTGCATATTTATTATAAATTTAGGTCGATACGATTTTTTTAAAATTGTTTTTGAAAAGTCTCTTATGCTCACCAAGGCTGCATTTATTTGATAAAAATACAGTAAAAAAAGTAATATTGTGAAATACTATTAAAATTTGAAATAACTGTTTTTTATTTTAATATAATTTAAAAAGTAATTTATTTCTGTGATAGAAAAGCTGAATTTTCAGCATCATTACTCCAGTCTTCAGTGTCACATGATCCTTCAGATATCATTCTAATATGCTGATTTGCAACTCAAGAAACATTTCTTATTATTATCAATGTTTAAAACAGTTGTGCTGCTTAATATTTTTGTGGAAACTGTGATACATGTTTTTCAGGATCGTTTGATGAACAGAAAGTTTAAAAGAACAGCATTTATTTGAAATAGAAATCTTTTATAACGTTATAAAAGTCTTCACTGTCACTTTTGATTAATTTAATGCATTCTAGCTGAATAAAAGTATTTCTTTAAAAAAAAAAAAACAATTCGAACTAACCCCACGGTAGTGTGTGTTTATTAAAATATTCATAAAAATATTAGTTATAAAAAATAAATAAATTAAACAGTAGTTAGTCTATAGTAATTATGTTTACTTCAGAACATGCAAGTTTCAGTGTATAGAGAAAAGGATAAATAACCACAGACCACTTTGTCTGGTTCGCATCTGAAATGAATAATGGTGGTCCGGTTTCTCTTGCCATCAGGACAGGCTTGTCCGTTGGTGTACTTCAGAATCAGGATGTTATTATCCCACTGTGGACCCGCCTCTGCCTCCCCCAGATTCACATACTTATCTCCATCCTTCAGACAGGCCGCAGCGCTAGACGGGCAGCTCCACAAACCTGAAACAAACACCAGTTATAAATCCTATGCTGACTGGTAAATACGCTCTAGCTGTGCTGCTACAACTCACCGGTCTGAGGCACCAGAGACTTGCACACATTGATATAGTAACGCTGCTTCTGATTGGTCGCTTCTGGCACAACAATCCAATTGGATTTGTGCAGTGCCAGCGAGGATAGATCGTAGGAGTGGCCACTGCCATCACTTCCAGACAGAGAGGAGGTTATAGGTCATTTAAACAGTTATATCATGTGTTGGGAGCAAATGCATAAGCAAAAAGGTTTCTCTCACTTGTAGGAGCAGGTTGTGGTTTTGAAGGAAGGACAGGCCAAAGCTGTGTGCCATTCAAACAGATATGTGCAGTCTGCAGTCTCCTTTATGAACTCCGGCTTACCCTGATGAACAAAGGAATTACCAAAAAAAAAAACATTCAGGAAATTAATTTAACTTCTTAAACTCATTCATTGGCTGAAAGGAACTCACAGGATTCTTGCTGTGGTCGCAGGAGAAGAGAATAGCCGTGGATCGCTCGTAAATCTTGTGGCACTTTTCCCCATTCGTGTAGTTGATCATTATAATCCCATCATCAAATGTGAGGTTTTGATTGGCTAAGCCTGCAAAGGAGCATGGAAATGGTTAAAGGAATATTTCACCCAAAAATGAAAATCTGCTGAACATTGATTCGCCCTCAGGCCATCCAAGATGTAGAAGAGTTTGTTTCTTCATCAGAACATATTTGGAAAAATTAAGCATTCCATCACTTGCTCTACTATGGATCCTCTGTAGTGAATGGGTGCCGTCAGAATGAGAGTCCAAACTGCTGATAAAAATATCACAATAATCCACACCACTCCAGTCCATTAATTAACGTCTTGTGAAACTAAAAGCTGCATGTTTGCAATAAACCCATCAAGGCGTTTTGATTTTAAACGTTGCTATTGGCCAAAATATGAGTCCATAATAATGCTTCCTCCAGTGAGGAATCCAACAACATATTTGTTTAGAATGGTTTTGGACTGTTTTAACATATAAACTGTGCTTGATCTGTGCATATTTCTCCTCTGATTCAGACAAGATGACTTTGTCACTGGAGAAAGCAATATTATGGATAGAGGATTTGTATTTTAGCCATAAGAAATGGTTTGAAGTGAAAAATAATTATGATGGATTTGTTTATAACAAACATGCAGATTTTCACTTCACAAGATGTTAATTGGACTGGAGTGGTGTGGATTACTAGTGGATTATTGTGATGTTTTTATCAGTTGCTTGGACTCTCATTCTGACGGCACCCATTCACTGCAGAGCATCCATTGGTGAGCAAGTGATGTAATGCTAAATTTCTTTAAATCTGTTCTGATGAAGAAACAAACTCATCTACATCTTAGATGGCCTGAGAGTGAGTAAACTTTTAGCAAATTTTCATTTTTGAATGAACGATTCCTTCAAACATGAAAAAATGCCCTACTAGCTCAGCTTTGATACTGAACAAACCAAATAAACTCACCTGCTATTCTGTGTGTACTGCCCTCGACCTGACAGGAGGACACTGAATTGCTGGGACCGTGAGGGCAGACCGAGGATGTAATTGGGCCGCACACTGCAAAGTGATACTCATAACTAAATTTCTTGACTTCATAGTCCTTTCCGGCCAGTGGTGTAAGATTGTACTCGTAGCCGCTCTTGGGGTCCTTGACTTTACAGTTTTCACCTGTAAGTGACAGGAACTAAACTGAGTCAAAGCCAAAGTAAGAGTATTTCTTCACATTCATGTGAACAAATTGGTTGTTGATCCTACCCTGCACTCTTTTTATTGGGCAAGCTTCTGAGGTTCTCCAGATGAAGACATATTCACAGTCATCTTTGCGATCAAACATGGGTGCACCCTTTAGATAGAGGAAAGAAAAATAGGTTTAACAGCTTCACCATAAGAAAACAAAAAATCTTAAGCATCTTAAATAGAGTACAAAATAGGGCTTGGTAAGATTTTAAATGTTTTTAAAGTCTCTTCTGCTCACCAAGGCTGTATTTATTTGATCAAAAATACAGTAAAAACAGTAATATTGTGAAATAATATTACAATTTAAAATATATTTTCTACTTTATTATATTATTATATTATTTTCCATTTAATTTTCTATTTTAATATATTTTAAAATGCAATTTATTCCTGTGATGTAAAGCTGAATTTTCAGCATCATTATTTCATTACTTCAGTGTCACATGATCCTTCAGAAATCTTTCTAATATGCTGATTTGCTGCTCAATAAACTTATTTCTTCTTAATATAAATGTTGAAAAGAGTTGTGGTGCTTAATATTTTTTTTTCTCCAAATATTGGTTTCAAGTTACTTGAAAAAGATTACTTTTTTACTTGCAGCAACAAGGTTACATAAATCCTATGCAGCTAAATAATGATTCATTTTATTTTATTTTTTTTTATAATTTAACTATAAACATTTATAGACATTGCATGTGTTAGTCATACTATCACACTGTGAATCTTAAGATAGATTATAGTTTATATGTACATATCCAGTCATGACACCAATTTGCTCCATATTTGTGGAAAGTGCCATGGATAAAAATGTATTTGCACTTAAGAGAGAAACTATGCACTTGCTTACAGGACTGTCATCACACTGGAAGATGATTCGTGTGGAGTAACGTCCTAAACCGCACTTGTCCCCATTCAGATAAACAATACTGATGGAGCCATCTGCCGCTGCCTGCAGGCTGGACTGCACGTATCCCAGATTTACACCTCTGCCTTTCAGCTGGCCACATGCTCCAATCGCTCCAGCTGCCAACAACATATTAGTTTACTGTGCGGCCATTCAGACAAGCACTACTGCTCCAGCTCTTGGTTGGTGTTACAAACAGAAAATCAATCTCAAAGTGCCAGGCTAAAAACAGTAAGACATTTCAAAAGAGTCTGTCAATGTCTGTCCAGAGACACTCACCAGGGCAGCCCTGGACGCGAGGCAGCGGTTTACACACACTGATGTAAAACTTTTGAAAGCGGGCCTGATCTGAGGTGTCCAGAGGAACGTAATACTTGTCATCCAGACTGAGGTCACTCAAGTCATACTCTCTACCTTGTAAATCTGGAAATACAAGACAGCTTGAGTTTGGTAACAAAATGGTGATAGTAATGGTGCAGAATTGACACCCTTCAGCATTAAAAGCATGTTTTTGTGCACAGGAAAGCTTACCTGTGACTTGGCAATCCACAGGAGCAGGTTCACAGGCTAGTGCAGTGGAAAGCTCGAAGAACACACTGTGGGTTACGTGTGTAGTTGTGCCCAGCTCTTCCTGAATAAGCCTCAGAGAGGGTGGGTTGGCCTTCTGGTCACACACAAAATTTATGATGAAGGTGTCTTCGGTACCTACAGTACAGATGGGAAACAGGGTAAAAAATGGATTCAGTCCAGGGCGGAACAATGTAAACTTTATGCAAGACTCTCTAGAATACTTGATTCCGATTGGACAGTCTTGGCATTCAAAGATTTTTTCATTATGATCCTAAACCATATGTTGGACCGCTGTCCCTGGCAATTCATTTCCTGCAAAGCTATGCTAGTTTTGTCACCTTTCTATCACCCTAACATGATCATGTAAGATACAATGAAATACAATACCACATACACTACCATTCAAAAATTTGGGGTCAGTAAGAATTATTATTATTTTTTAAAGAAATTAATATAAATTGATCAAAAGTGACAATAAAGACATGTTACAAAAGATGTCCATTTCAAATAATTGCTTGCTCTTTTGAACCCTGAAAAAAATAAAATTATTATATATATATATATATATATATATAAATCACAGTTTCCACAAAAATATTAAGCAGCAAAACT